AGGGATTGGCCTGCTCTCCAGACTACGAAACAGACCCAGGGCTTTATTGGGATGGCGGGGCACTACCAGAGGCTTGTGCCCCACTTTAGCTCTGTGTCAGCTCCCTAGAAGGGTAAGCCAGACAAGCTGGTCTGATCTGAGCAGTGCCAGAGGGCTCTCTGCACACTGAAGGAGGATCTGGTCAAGGGACCGGTGCTGGGAAACCCAGACTTTGACAAGTCCTTCATGGTGTTCACCGATGCCCCAGACACAGGACTGGGCACGGTGCCGAGGCAGGCCCATGCAAAGGGGGCGAAACACCACATCATGTACCTGAGCAGGAAGCTGCTGCCCTGGGAGCAGGGCTATGGAGCCATAGAGAAGGAATGCCTGGCCATGGAGTGGGCTCTTACAAGGCTGCAGCCGGATCTATTTGGGGAGCGCTTCACTGTGTGCACAGACTACTCGCCCTGCCATGGCTGCATCAGATGAGAGGGGCCAATGCCAAGCTCCTGAAGTGGAGTCTGTCATTAAAGGATTACGATATGGAGGTGGTCCATAGTGGTTAAAGGGAGTGAAAATGTTTTGGCTGATGCTTTGTGCCGGAGAGGGAGACCTGAACTTCCCCAGGTCACTGGCTAAAGTGACCCCGCTCAGTTAGGTCTCGAAGAGGGGAAGAGGGGAGACATGTGATGGGATTTCCCCTTGTTATGTTGTATATGAGTCTTACTGTTTGACATGAATGCTGTGTGTGCCTAACTTTCCCTGTGTATTGCACCAATGTCTAGGTGGTGGGAATAAACATGTGCAATTTTTGGAGATGCTCCAGCTTTCTGTATGGAAGTTATGGACACCCCTTTGTAAGTTGAGACCCAGGAGGGGGATGCGACGAGGATACTCTTGGCCTGGGAAGCGAGAGAAAGGCCAGAGGAGGAGCAACAGGTAGGGCAGGGGCCAGGCAGTTCGAAGCGAGTCTCGGCTGGCTTGGGGCTCAGGGGGAGAAGCTAAGAAGTTCTGTCCTGCGCTGCGTTCCTGTCGACTAATAAACCTTCTGTTTTTACCAGCTTGGCTGAGAGTCACGTCTGCCGGTGTGTCATGGAATCACCGGGGCAATGCTCTGGAACTACTCCGTCTGACGCCAGCCAAGACTCTGGGGGAGCATGCCTCCTCTCTCAGAGCATACTGTCTCCAGGCAAGAAGCTTAAACATCTTCACCTTCCCTGGGTCTGACCTTGGAGCATTCAGCATCCCCATCCACACCGTGCACTTCCCACAGTGAGTCTGCCCGGGTGGGGTTCCTGGGGAAGCCAGAGGGTCCTGCACCTCAACTCCGCAGTCAGGCATGACTCTCAGTCAGCCAATAAAACAGAAGGTTTATTAGTCGACAGTAACACAGCGTAGGGCAGAACTTGTTAGCACAGAAATCAGCGACTTTCAGCCAAGTCTATCTTTCAAGTCCTGGGCCAGACGCGCTGGACTAGCCCTCTTCCAGTCTCCTAATGCAGACTGCCAGCTTCCAACACCCCCCTGTTGCCCCTTCTCCGTCTCTTTGTCTTGCTTCCCAGGGAAAATGTGTCACCGGGTCACATAGGTGCAAACGGCTGGGTAGCCTCACCTGCCCTGAGGTCCTCAGTAAAAATCACACGCCCAACTCAGATGCAACATAACAAGATGAATAAAACCCCACTTTGTCACAGCTCTTCCTCCTCAGAGACCGGAACTGGGTGGGGCACTTTGGCCAGTGGCCTGCGTAAGTTCTGGCCCGCATTTCTGGGACAAAGCATCGGCTACAATCTCGGCACTCCCCTTAACGTGGACCACCTCCATGTCATAATCCTGAAGCTGGAGACCCCACCTCCGGAGCTTGGCAATGGCCCGTTTCATCTAGTGTAGCCACCTCAGGGGTGAATGGTTAGTGTACACGGTGAAGCAGCGCCCAAACAGATACGGCTGCAGATTTGTAAGGGACCACACCATGGCCAGATATTCCCTTTCTATTGCTGGATAAGTCTGCTCCGAGGGCAGCAGCTTCCTGTACAGATACATGATGGAGTGTCTCTCCCGCGTTCCATCAACCTGCATTAGCACGTGCACCCAGCGCTGTGTACGAGGCATCGGTGAACACCATAAAGGGCTTGTCAAAGTCTGGGTTTACCAGCATCGCACAGGCGCCAACTTTCATTTCGCAGTGCAAACATGGGAGGGAGGGGTGAGAAGCAAGGGAGCTACAATGCAATGAGTCACCTGCATGAGGCCCCACCAGAGGAATTGCTCAACCTTGCTTGGAGAGACATTCCATTTGTTCTACAAGCACATGGACTGAGAGTGTAAAACAGGGAGAATGGACACATACTGGGCCCTTCTCCTGCCCCCACCTCTTCTGCAAGCAACCAGGATACTGAGAAGAACACAAGACTCCAACACAGGAGTTTGGCCCAGGTTTAAGGAACAAATCTGTATATTAAGGACTGCAATATCCAGTAGGGTGAGAAAAACTGCTTAATCTAGTTGCTGCCCAGTCTAAAGGGTTTATTTTATTTTCATAACCACTCTGACTTGTTATGCCTCGACTTAAAATCACTTTAGATCTAGCTTTATAGTTAATAAATTTGTTTATTCTACCTGAAGCAGTGCATTTGTAGCAGAGACTCCCCTTGGCATAACAAGCCTGGTACATATCAATTTCTTTGTTAACTTGATGAACTCATATAAGCTTGCAGTGTCCAGCGGCCATAACTGGACACTGCAAGACGGAAGTTCCCAGGGTTGTGTCTGGGACCGGAGATATTGGCTAGTATCATTCAATTGCAACTAGCTTGGAGCAGCTTACATGCCAGAGGCTGTGTGTGAACAGCCCAGGAGTGTGTGTGTGTGGGGTCTCACAGCAGAGCAGGGTAAGACTGGCTCCCAGAGTCAAAGAAACAGATAGCCGTGGGGGGAGCAGACGGACACACCGACAGGCAGAAACCACAGTTGGAGTGCATGGACCACTGCTGTCTGAAGTGTCCCTTTATTATTCTGCTACAAAACAAAAACTAACAGGACACTGGGGCTTTCCTGGGAGGGTGGGGGAAGGACAGAGCCCCTGACCATTTCCAGGGACAGGACATCACAGACAACACTTTCAGATAAGGCACTGCTAAGCCCTGCCCCGCTCCCTGCAGCACAGGCTCTAGTACAGGGGTGGCTCACAATTTCAGCCTGTGCACATCTGCGGAAGCACACTATGTAGAAGTCCAGTCTGTCATATCCACAATCAGGCGGAATCCACCCCGTAGGAGGGTTCCTGTCGGTCAGTGCACTGTTCAGTGGTGCGTTGAAAATATTCCTTAGTCTGAGACCATGAAAGTAGGCTTCCTGATCACCGCAGAACTGTATCATGTTCGTGGGAGTGGTGGGGCAGAAAGAGATAGGACAGACTCTTCTGCCGAGCTAAGTGTGTGGTTGGATAGATTAATGATATTGTTAAGTGAGTTGAGGGAACCACTGTTGTAGCATGTTCCCGTTCCTTAAACTGGGACAGGATGTGCTTATCAGAGTTCCATGTAGTCCTGGGTCCCCCCTCACTCACCGCAGCAGAGGGCTCTCTGCTCCTCAACTTTGCCAACTCCAGTGCATGCTGCCGCTGTTTCTCCTGATCCTCCAGCTCTTTCAGTTTTATCTCCCTCTCCCATTCCAGGTTCCTCAGCTCCAGTGATGGGGAGCTTGGCTGTGAGGATCCCCTACTGGCCGTGGGGGTCACGGTGTCCCTGGGTTTCGCCTGGCTGCTTCTAGCCCCTCCCCCAGCCATAGGTAGGAGGGGCCTCGGAGTGCCCTTGGCAGCAGTCTGACCACCCCCAACTGGGACAGACACCGGTGCAGGCACTGCATCTACTGGGCTGCTTCCCTCAGGGACAGGGATCAGCTCCTCCAAGCGATCCTCCTCCTCCAGGTGGGCAATCAGCTGTGCTTTGGTGGCCTTCCCTCTGCGAAGCCCCCTCCCCTTGCACAGCTCTACAAGGTCCCTCTTAAGGAGATGGTTATACATTTCCCCACTGTTCCCAAATTGTTCTAGACTCAGGCTAGTGTGCTCTCAGCTCCCCCCCAGTTTCTGTGCCAGCCCTTCTCCAGGTCACCACTTCTCTCCCAAGGTCAAGCCGCAGACTCCCCCGCCCCTGAAACTGCTCACCACAGTCCCCAAGGGGACCCCGTTACTGCAACAGTTCTTCTTTCTGGTCACACATTCCCATGGGTTAAGCGTAGCTCCTCCGCCTCCTGAAACCGCTCCTTTCTGAGCCTTCAGTACACCTGGTTCTCGTTAATCCCTCTTCCTTTTACTGCTCCCCAGTCACTTACTGCAGAAAGTGCCATCCACGGAGTGTAGTACATCCCACCGCTCCCACCAGTTGTCACCGCGTGTGGGGGAAATCAGGTTCTGGGCCTCCCCACTGACTCCCCAGCCAGCTCCAAACTGAAACTCCTTCCTGCTGCCTCACCCAGCCCCTCATCCAGCCTTTGTCCAGTTCCCAGGGAGAAAGTGGCCCCAACCCCCTCCTGGGCTCAGATTAGGAAGGGCAGCTGTCATCATTTACATGGTGACTGTCAAGTATCAGCCCTCAGTGAAGTCACACCCTTACTTCCCATCACCATCTAGTATTGGTGCAATACCCCAGGGAAACGGAGGCACGCCCCGCGTTAGCAGAAGACAGTAAACTAGTAAAACCCCCATGCAACATTACCAGGTTAATACTCCCTATGCCCTCACAGGGGGTCAGAGGAAGAGGTCAGAGGGTGGACCCAATGGGTGATCAGAGGGAAGGGGTCAGAGGCCAGGTCCCATTGGGAGGGTCAGAGGGAAGAAATCTGAGGGCAGGTGGGTCCCCTTGAGGGGGTCAGAGGGCGGGTTCCAGGGGGTGTACAGAGGCGTCATGGAAAGTAGTTTAGAGCTTGTTCCCCCCATACCGCGCCGTGATTGGATGGCTTCCGATTCTGTTGGCCAATGGTCGCGGTCTCCGTAGGACAGGCGCGTCACGTGTACCTAGCGTGTGTCCGGAACCCGCCGGCGGCTCAGCTAGCGGAGCGACCCTGGTTCAAGTGTTTGAAGGACAGCTCCGTTAGCTTGTCAACGTTCTGGCGGCGCACGGGCGGGCGGGCTCGTGCTGTGATTGGTGCATCTCTCGGGGAAGCGGGGACCTGGCCGGCGCGGTTACTATGACGGCAGGCGGTGGAGTCTCCGCCTTTCCGGGCGCCGCCATCTTGTTGTTGATTCGAACGGTCAGGAGCGGGCGAGGGGGCGCCAGGACCGAGCCGGAACCGGGGGTCCCAGCGCCGCGTCCCCCGGGCGGCAGGGAGAGCCTGTCCCGGTGAGTGAGGTCGCCCGAGGGCTCAACATACACATCTTTACTAATTTAGCAGATGCATATGCATAGCTCCGAGGCGCCGGGACGGGTGGGGGAGGGGCTAGCGGGCCGGGGGTGCGCGGGGCTGGGAACGGACCGGGGCCGAGAGGCACAGTGCGGTCTTGTCTCACCGCGGCGGCGGGTGGGGATGGTTTTGGGGGGGCTTTGTTACAATGTTTCCCCAGACGTTGAAAGGACGGTTCCTTTCGTTGTTAGCACTATTTGTTTATTCAGGAGGAGGCTCTACCGGGTTTACAATCCGTGCCATGTAAATGTCAGGGACAAAACAGCGATCGTTATAACAGCGAACTTCTGTTTAACGCGACATTCTACGGGACTCTGGCCATGGGATCTCTCTGTTTGACAGCGAGCATCGTAATAACGCTGTCCTGTCTAGTGACTTATATTACATTGAGTTGAATCTCTGGTACAGAGAGGGCATGTTGATCGAATGGCAATGTTAAAAAAAAAAGACAGGTGTGCTCATTAAAGGAAGCTTTAATTCTAATAAAAGGTGCCAGCTTGACATCCTTGGAGATGTAATATGCTTGTTTGCCCATTGGGCTGGGGAATTGGACTGAGACCAACATTTGTGAACCACCAGATAGGAGTCAGGCTAGACCATGTGAGACATGGTTACTGACTTTTGCTCAGTTCTGACCTGGACTGGATTTGAACTAGTGATGGGATCTATAACCCTTGAGGGTCTTAATGCTCTAAGCCTGCTGCCCATGTTTCTCTCTGTAAATGTGCTGTGGTATATCTGTGGTACCTTCCCAATTACCCTGTGTCATGGCATGTTGCCACCTTAGCTGCTCCTCTTCCATCCAGAGTCACCTGGGTTTAACTCTTCCCAAAGCTGAATCCAAAATGGCAGTTTATTTACTAATACAGCACAGATTTCATGGATGGTATGATCTTGTGTATATTGCTCTGTCTTCATTTAACAGTTTTTGTTTGTTTTGGTTGTTTTTTTTAAGAGTGAGCAAGTTAGTTTATCTGAAGTTGGCTGACAGTTTGTCACAAGTTTGTCATAAAAACCCCATATGCCAATATGCTTAGAGCAGGTTCTGTTTATGAGCTGTGCATATGCATCTGCTAAATTAGTAAAGATGTGTATGTTGAGTAAATGGCTCTCAGTTAGGGAATCTGTATTGCAGTTAATATGGCAAAGAGCTAGGGCTCAGATTCCTCTCTTAAAAAAATCTTTCACATCTCAGTAGTGCTAAAATCAGTCTCTTTTACCCACTTGGCAGTTTCACTGTTAAGATGACTACGTAGTTAGGGTTGAGATAGATGTCCCTAGGAGTCTGCAGCTTTCTTATGTCTTCTTCCCTGTCCCTTAGAATTCTGTAAAATATTTCTTGAGTTGTGATAGCTCAGCTCAGAGATGAATCTTTTGTTTTCATTTCAGGGCTTTGAGTAATTAAAGGTGATGTGTTTTGGGAAAACTAAACACATGAACTGTCCATGGAGGCAACATTAGGCTGAGATTGAACTACATAAAACTCAGGGTCTCTCTTTGGTTTTTTGAGTATGCTAGGGAATGTATCTTCCCCCAAAAAGAAAAGGAGTACTTGTGGCACCTTAGAGACTAACCAATTTATTTGAGCATGAGCTTTCGTGAGCTACAGCTCACTTCATCATGTAGCTCACGAAAGCTCATGCTCAAATAAATTGGTTAGTCTCTAAGGTGCCACAAGTACTCCTTTTCTTTTTGTGAATACAGACTAACACGGCTGTTACTCTGAAACCTATCTTCCCCCAGTATCTTCAAATGATGGTTCATACTTTCCCCATGTCCTTCAATGCAGCTTTTTACTTAGATAAGCTTCAGGCAGTCTTACACTGCTTAGGTTTGCCTCACTGGCTTACAGTTTCCTGTTTACATCTTCTGGCTTCACTTCCCATTTAAAGGTGGTAGGAGTATTTGGGACAGTATGAAATATCACCCTCTGCTCCTTCTCTGGAATCCATCACATTCCAGCTGCTTGGGGTGGTAACCACATGAATTGAAGAGGACACTGCGTGGGGAAGGCTGAAGGCTACAAGGGCAGGGGGAGATCAGAGTTACTATTGGGAGTCTCTTCTGAACAGTGTGAGATGTACCTTTCCCAGTGAGGCCCTTGGCTTGCTGCTTGCAGCAGCCAGCTCTGGTTCTTCACAACTTTCCCATGTGACAGCCTCTCCTGTTAATGAACAGTCTGTGGTTGAGATGGAGTGGGGGAAGGAGATAACCACCTGACAGTGGGCCAAGAGCCACTCAGGTGTACCTCTCCCTTGAAGCAGCATTCATCCACCAGCAACAGGCATTTGCTCAGATTCCCTGTCGCGCAGCTCTTATTTTTAGGATTAGCAGTGTAATGACCTAGCGATGCATACACAAACATCTCTTCTGCCTTGCATTTGTGCATTACTATAGGGTTTCTCAGGATATGATTCTCCAACACTAGGGCACATGACAATACTTGGCAAATATTACTGTACTAAATTCTAGAATGTAAAATTGTTGTTCGTCTTTTGGCATTGTTTCTCCTGACAGATACTAAGAGTAAAATGACTTCCACCTTATTTTATATTGCACATTAAAACAATGTTAGAAGAATGGTAAGGTTACAAAATCAAGCATTCAGAAGTTGGGCAACACCAGCCAGACGCGACAGCAAAATGGCGGCCGTAGCCCTAGCGGGGGCCCGGTGACTGCTGCAGAGCCAGTCCCAGGCCAAACCTGAGACCCCTCACCCCCATTATTCTGGGATTTTGGAATCCACTGAAGAATATAAATTTGTGGAGACACTCATTCCACCCACCAGAATTTCTGCTCCCTCCAAACATACCCAGTACCCCATCCCGTCTAGCTGGAGAGCGCCATCAGATACTTCACCTGCCCTTCCTTCCTTTGTGAGACGTTCCTGCAGGCACAAAATTCCAGTCTATATAAGGACATCACCTGTGGCAATAGGAGGATGATTGTCATCAGGAAAATCGAAGGAGATATCTGGGCCCTGGAAGAGGAAGTTAAGGAGTTCCTCGCTTAGCTCGCTGGGAAACCACCACCTATTCAAGTCAACGAAATCACCGGCAGTTGCTGAAGGAGGACTAGCATATGGTGTAGCCAAGACATTTGGGTAAACGTTGAGTGTTGAATTTTGGGACTTGATATGTTGCTCTCATTGAAAGCAAGCTGCAACCTTCTCCATTTTCTGTTTAATTTGCAAATGTGCCAAGTTGTCAACATAACTGTTGGGCAAAATTTGAGCATTGTCCCTGGCTCTGGGGGTCTACTGCAGTGGTTCTCCACTTATTTATTATTGTGGGCCACATATGCAACCCACAATGTGTTACCTGGCCACGGGGGCCGGGTGGCAGGGCAGCGGCAGCCCTGAGCCCAGACCACCGCCTCCCATGGGGCCGGCTGGCTGTCCGGACCCCCCTCCCCTTCCCCTCACCCCATGTTGGCTGGCCTTTAGCACACAGCTGAGCTGGGTCACAGCTGTGTGCTAATTGGGCCGCATGTAGCCTGCAGCCCGCTGGTTGAGAACCGCTGGTCTACTGTGTAACAGCTCAGCAAAGCTGTACTCATTAGTTTATATAATGTGATGACTGGCATAAGGATGGACCCTTCATGTGTTCCCACATTCTCTGAAAAGGAGTCTTGCCTCAGAAAACCCCCCAAAACAACAGAGTAAATTGTAAGGGTCCTTGGCTAGTTCTCAGATGGGCGGCCTAGAGAAAGGGAGAGTGTGAGGAAAATACAGCAGAAATCTCTGTGGGAATCCTATCAAAAACTTCGATTTACAGTTGTCATGAAGAATAGGCTGTTGCTGTCTAGAAACAGAAGGAACCTAGTCCAAGGTATGGAAAAAGTGGCTCTGGCTCAAGTAGGGAGCAGGCTGCTAACAGTGTTCTCACTGTCCTTGATGTGACTGAAGTGCGAAGCTGGAGGCTGGCCAGTGTCCCTTTTTAGGATTGCTACGACTGCTACCAGGGGTAAGGCTAAAAGCTGGAGATTGCTAGCCATGGCCGCTCCAAGCCCTGCTTTCTAGACCCCTTTCACAAGTAGTGCTTGTGCTGCTCTGTTGCTCAGATGGGGCAGAGAGACATTCTGCTCAGGACATTCAGAATTGTAAGTCACTGTTACCCCTCTGCCTCAGCAAATGAGAGCTTTGCTGCTGCTAAGCTGTGCGTGAGCTTCCTGACACTCCAGCTTGTCTGATTGCCAGCAAACTCCTCGAGGCTCTGCCAGTCTGAACCTTGCCTTTGCAGGCAACATTCAGTGAGCGCCAGCTCCCCAGAGACATCTCCTTGCAGTGTCCAGTTCCTCTCACTGGACAGTCACAGAAAGTAAGTTCACTGTCCCCAAAGAGACAGAGCACACCCCAGACCGTTCGTTTTGTTGAGGACTCACACTTGCCTTAATATAGCAGCGCTGGGATGATTTATAGTAAAACTAAGAATACCCTTATTAACCGAGAACAGAGATTTAAGTGACACTAAGCAAAAAAATAAAAAGAGGTCTACTTACAGACAGAACAAAACATGCTTTCTAGTGACTAAAACTTAATTCTAGCAAGTTATGTCTTTGCCTAAAATAGTTGCTCGCTTACAGCAAATTCAGGAGCTCCTCCCCTTCAGGCTAAGAGGATCCAACCTTCACAGGCTCTGAGGGTGCTGTTCCATATGTCTCCTAAGTGGTGGATAACTAGAATGTCTTGTTACCTCCCCTTATGTTTTCCAGAGTCCATTATCTTTGTCTCAAGAGCCAGGAAGACTTCCTGTGGGTTTCAGACTTGGAACCCTGGTGGTGTGTTTACTAAATTGATTCCTCTGTTGCTTGTTAACTTGGTTGCCTTGTTTATCTTGTATATAATGTACTTTCTTTGTCCTCTGCCTGTAATCCAGCTGGTCAGACAGCTAATCCACATTGCTTTGTCTAGGCCAGGCTGGGTTGCCTCCCAAGCACA